TTATTTCCGAGCAGTTGCCATTCCTGGAAAACATTTTTAATCAGACAACAAGTAGTAAATTTTATTGAAAAGCTTAAAATAATCTCTATAATCACAAATATTAAATCTTATCATAATGCGTAAATTTAAGTTCATTAAAGCTAATAGCGGATTTGCTTAAGTAATTTCCTTTTAGTTAACAATATTTAGTTACGCAATTAATTAATTTATTTTTAGAAAATAAGGTTGACATTCCAATTACGATGCAAGGTTTATAAATCTCTTATTGATGAAGTTAAAATTCATCAGACCATATTTACAAATTCAGTATTTAATTCCGTGAGTTTATGAGTATTAAGCATTTGATAAATTTTTAATGCCATCCTGTTGCATTCATAAATGTATTGTTTTAGTTAAAAAAAATAAAGAAAAATCAAAATAAAGTGACTAATTACGAACTGATTCTTTTTTTTTAAAAAAAAAACACAACTTAATTTTAATGATTAAGAAAATGAAATGAAATATGCTATTTTATGAAGAAAAAAAATTTAAATTAATAAACTTTTACAACTCCAAGTCCCACCAAATAATTAACTCTCATATAAATATAACTTTTTTTATTCAAGACAGAATATAGCATTTCATTGCATATTACGTATACAACCATAGGGTTCCGCATGACTCCAATTTTTAAAATGGATGAAATTAAAATACGCAGTTACAATAGCTGTCAAAGTAAGAAAAAAAGTCTTGAATCAACTAAATATATATCAAAAAATTATTTTCTTATCTCTTTTGGTTTTAATTTTGATGAATTTAATTTGATAATGATTCATGAAAATGTTCTTTACTTGTTTGAAATATTTAGGGCGATTTTCCGAGATTTCTTCTTATTGAGGGGGGCATAAACCCAACTTCGGCCAACGACGCCCATGTGTGCAACATGACAGAATTTAATCTTAAATCTCCCACCAATTAATCAATTTAAAAGCTATTACCACTCTCAATAATGATGCAGGAATCCATTCATTTAGAGGGACATAAATAAAAAACTTAGTCTCAATAGCTCTCTAAATTTCACCCATAACCAAAACATTTCTTGTATCCCTTAAATAACAGTGATATGATAAATGATTTTATCTCTAACCTGCTTTAACTTTGCTGATTTTTGACCTTTGATGAGTCATGTGAATTTTGTATAATTGTCAGAAATATTAGGGAGGGATTTTAGCAATTTTTAGGCATGTAGGGCAATATGTACCCTTGCAATTGGCATCCCTTGCCAATGACCGCCCATACTTAAAAATACTCTGAACATATTATTAATCAATTTGTCAATTTGTCAATGTAATTCCATTAGCATCGTATTACACTGATTGTAATTCCATTGCCATTGTATTGCATTGGCATTTTATTACTTGTCACCTTTTATTCTGTGTATTTCGCATAATAATGCTGTGATCAAAACTTTTACTCTAAAATTATAAATTTTGGAAAACAAACAGAGATATTTTCTATCATTTTTACTACCAATGTTTATATAAAAAAGAATTGAAGAAATTTTTTCAAGCAACGTTTACATAAATATTGCATTGGAGTAAAGAAGTGCCATTATTCTCGATCCTCATCCCTTGAAATTCAAATTAGTTTCAGATGTTAAGGTGGGGATCGAGTTTAGTGTTGTTAGATATGTTTTTACTTATGTACAATGTAAAGCAATGTAAATAAAGATACTGAAAAGGGCATACTAAAGTTTCGGTGCCGTAAAAAAACTTTACTCATTGTCTGAACACAAAAGAAGGGGTTTTCTTATGGCACAATTTTGTTGAGACCATGAGGAAGGTTCTTTTATAGAACTGAAGCTATATAGTAAGTCGATTTTTGCACCTTCTTTTGGGCTTTATGCAAGTTTTTTTGCATTATTCATACCTATTTTTATGTGACATGTATTTCTTGATATTCCAATTTATTTTAAATTAATTGTTCTCCGTTTAAATTTTGCGATTATACCCCAATCTGTTCGAAATGCAACAAACAATACGTAGAATTGAGTTCTTTTTTTTATGGAAAATACAAACCTACAATAAAATGAATCAAAAAGGAATTCTCTTTTAAACTTACCCTTCATTCCACACTTAAAAGGGGAGGTTGGGGGTCGTGTTTGACTTTTTTGGATGAATACTTTGAAAATACATTTCTGTTTTTAGACTTTTGCTTCGATTCGCATTTCTTGATATATTCGTCAAGTTTCCTCACTTTTTGTACACCTTGTATATCCGAAATATATAACAAAAATTACATATTTTATATTTAATATCTTCTAATCTTATCGATTTGAACAATAATTCTGTTTTATGAGATGCACACGAAAGCTAAAATTTCACATTAAAAGTAAAAATTCCATTTATAAAACGTGCTTTTTTTAGGTAAATTTAACCTAAATATTTGTAAATAATTTCAATTTTATGGGGAACGAATATCTCGCCAATATACCAAAACTGCATTTTGTATGCAAATTAAGAACGAGAAGTAGTTGATCGGATATCCTATGCATCAAAATCTTCTTCCGCTCTCTAAAAGGGAAACTATTTCCTCTTCTTCCTTCAAAATTATAAACGAAATTTTCTAAAGTTTATTTTCAGATTTTTGAACTTAGTTCTTCGAATTGAAAAGAACATGGACGTTCGTTAATTAAAACTTCAAAAGAATATTTATCTAATAAGTAAGATTTTCTTCACTAAATTTGCTGTTCCGATTTTTAAAACTTTTAAAAATTTGTGTTTAGTACTAAATTCTGCTTTCACATTTTTATGAGACACATGATTAGTTCTGCTTTTTAAATTAATATAGCTACTAAAAACTGCACTTTTAGTATAATTTGTTACCGCAAAAAAACCTTTTAATTTCCGCTATTTCATTAAAAGTAAATTACATTTTAAAGTGAAAGCTTCCGGTTCAATTTCCAAGTAATAATTTTCTAGTGCTCAATTTTGCATTTTCGCTCTTAATAATGCATAAAATATTTATAGAAAACTTAGATTGTAATTATTGTAAAGCAATAGTTTGTAATTTATTATAATATTCGAATTTCAACAACATAAAATTTCTTCGAGAAAACCTGAATACCGAATATAGAAAGTTTATCAATTGAGCAATTAAATGGCTTGCATCACAAAAATTTCAATTAGCAATAGCAAAGATCACAAATTTTTATAAATTGCTGCCCAATTAGTTCCAATCTCTTGGCATAAGTGTTTTGGGTGATTTATAATCAGACAGATGCTGGACTTCATCTTACTATTGTAGTGGTTTGAGCTTACCATCATACTTTCCAGCCAAAGTTGGAGTTAGACTCAACATCCGCAGGTGAATGATTAGTAAGAATAACAAATTTGATGTCAGATATTAGTTTAATAATTTCATTAAACGCTTTCAGTGGATAATTTTATGCAATTACCATTCCCCAAAATTGAGTGTTTTTAACCAACGTACAACAGTTACTTTAGAAAAATACAAGAATAGTGCGTAACTTTGCTATGGATTTCAATTTGATTTGAAGTTCAAGTCGTTGCAATTGATTCATACCACTTACATGCAACTACAACGATTACTCAAGTATTACTCATTTGCTTGGGGATTTATAGGTATGGGTAAGAACCTCTTTGCCTGCAGATTAATTGCCATAGATGACGTAAATTCAATTTATACGCCGGATATAATTCAAATTGAAGCACATGCAGGAGTACAATTGAAATTTACTACAACCATCCTTAATAGTTTGATCTTCATCGAAAGGAATAGGTTGCTAAAATTTGCGTAAATTGATTTTAAAAATTTTGAAAAATTAAAAGCTAACTAAAACATTTTTTGAGAGCAATTTTGCTATAATATTAGAATTTAACAATAATGCAATTGGAACAATTTTACAATAGAATTATTTTACAATAGAACAATTGTACAATAATTTGTAAGTACTGCAAAAATGAGAATCCGAAATTTAAAGGTTTGAAAAATTTAAAAGTTGTCTGTGAGATTTTATTTATTTATTGTTACCCCTTTATTTATAAATTTTTCTTAGAAAATTCACAGATTTTCTTTCATGTATTTATTGATAAATGTTTTTATGATCATAAATATTGATAATATTAATGTTTTTTTCAATCAAAATTTATATTAAAGAAAATTCTTTATATAAAAAAAAATAATAAGATTTCTGGGAATGTTATTCATACCAATGGTTATAAAAAAATTTCAAATTACAATTAGCATTTTATGTATAAAAGAAATAAATAAAAATACTGGAAAAACGAATATTAAAAGCTGATTACTCAAGTGTATTATAATTGCAAACATAATACACAAAACCTAAAGCCAATATTATCAAAATAAACTCAGCTTAAAATAAAAAATGCGAATAAATGTAACTTTTTTTACAAGTAAGGATTAGATACAGTATTTATAATTCAAGCATAAATTATCATGGAATAAAATGATTTACGCTAAAATTTATGAGAAAAACGTTAAGAAGTTTGGAATAACTATAATTAATAAACGTTATTTCAAATATCTAACTCGATTTTTAAGAAAATGATTTAAAATCTAAATCGATAAAAAATAAATCATTAATTTTATATCATAGCCGTAAAAAGAAATAAAAACAGTTAAAATACTTCTGGAAGATCTTACGACTTTTCACGGAATTATTGAAATAAGTAATTACAGCGAGTAGAAATTTGGAAGTATCGAGATTTTTATTTTATTGTCTGTTTAAACCGAAAAAGATAGGCAAGTTTTGATAAGGAAACAATAAAGACGAAAAAACATCCTGCGGGGGAGGGGAGAATACTAATAGGCAGTTAATTCTTTTATTAGGATTTTTTTATTGCTTAGTCGAACCGGATCTTTCAACATCTTTAGAGGAACGTCTCCAACTAAATGCACTGCTCTGACAATTGCCAGAGTAGAAAACCACCTGTTTCGGTCATCGGCCGCTAGATGGCACTAAATAGCCTCCGGCCGAAATCGCAGCCGTCAAATGGCGTTCAACTATAAGGCCCGAGTTGACATGCGACCGTGGACTGTGCGGCGCGTTGTTTTCATGAAGCGTGGATTTATGTGTTTCGTGATACTTATTTAATTAGAATTGCAGAAAAATTAGAATCCAAAGATAATCAAAAATGAATCTGCCCATTTTACTATGGATATTGCAAGCTATTTGGATAAAAGGTAGGATTAAAAAACATCTGTTAAAATTCCAAGGATGGGTCGGGGGGAATTAAATGTTTTGGTTTCCTCTTTATTATTTTTGTATCTTTTTGTTTTTGAAAATGCCGGTGTCGTTAACGCATGAGTCGGTGCAATTGTAATTATCGTGTTAGAAGCAAAGAGATTAAAAGGGTTAAATATAAAATTCCGCTGCACTAATAACGATTGGGATGTATTTTTAAGCTTCATATATTTGATGAATTACAACAACATAACTTGAAACGACTTTAATAAAATAAGTTAGATTGTATTTGCAAAATAAATATTATGGTTTTCTATCTAATTTTTTTTTTTCGTGAATGAAAGTTGTTTAAATGAAAGTTTGACAATTCGGAAATAGGTTTTCAATGCTTACTATAAAAATGGGCTGGGGAAATATATAAATATATATTTTTTTTGGTATCTTTTTTTTAATAATTTTTGTCTATTTTCATATTTGAAATGTCGATGCCGTTAACAAAATTAGTTGGTGATAATTGTAATTATCATGTCAGAAGTGGAGAAATAGCGAAGTTTAAATTTCACAGTCTTAAAAATTTTCCAATTGTAATTTGAATTATATTTTCAAACTGAATAAGACTCATTCTTATTTAAATTTTTTCTTCGGTTTATTTTTTTTTAAATAAAAGTATGTCAATTTGATAATGAATTTAAATTGTTTATGGCGGAGTATTAATAGGGGAATTAAATTTTTTTGTTCTTTTTTTATTATTTTTGTTGTATGAAAATATTTTAAGTTTCAATATGAATGTACAAACTTAACTTAAAATAAATATAGAAAAAATGCGTTGTTTTATATTTTCAAACTAGATGTTTACGCTTTTAGATTAAAATTTTTCTTTTGACTTCTTCCTTTTTAAATGAGATTTTCCTAATTCAATAATAACTTTAAAGTGTTTACGCTGGAGGATGGGGGGAGGAATTATATGTTGTAGGTTCTTCATTATTCTTTTATTTCTTACTTCTTTCTTTTCTTTTTCTTTTTGCTTGAAAATGCCAGCCAGTGTTGTTAATACTTGGGTTGAAAGGGTGCATTTGCAGTTTTTACGATGATTCGATCGAAAATTTACGACATGATTCGATTGAAAGAGTTAACGAACGAATTACGCTGCACTACCGATTATAAGAAAATTTTCAGTACTTATGTGTTTGATGAATAAAAATCACATACGTTATAAGGACTTAAAAATTAATATTTTCTATTTCATTTTATGTTTCGTCTTTTTAATGGAAAGTCTTACTTAGCAATAATAATTTTTAATATTTTTAAAAATTATTTTTATTAAAAAAACTACATTTTATTTACAGTCGTATTTTGCACAAATTATAATATTCAAATTATCCTATTTAATTATTCCAGTACTATGCTTTAAAATTGTTAATTTTTCTTTTGATTTTTTAAAAATAATTTGTTTTAGTTAAAATAAATGATTAGCTTTAATTTAGAAAATCTTTAACTAAAATGCAGAGCTCTTTTTTTTAAAGTATAATTTGCATTTTAATTAAAGTTATACCATATGATATTTATAAATGAAGATTTCAAATAGCCTGATAGAATTTTATTTTAAGGTTAAAATGAATTGCGTGATTTCTGATAATTATTTCGTTTGCCGATTAAAATAAACATTTATTATTAAAAAAAAATCACGTTCTTCTTTTTGATCTACAATTTCTTCGATCTATTTTACTAGGTAATCACTTGAAAAAAATAAAATTCATTTAAAGTGGTTTATTTATTTATTTTTGTGGTGAAAGAATTTTTGTGAAAAATCTAATAATTTCCTTTGTTTCAAAAATTATTTTTTGATTATTATTAAACGCCGTTGGGGATAGCTTAAAGGAACATAGAAAGTAGCATAATTTCGAAATATAATCTCTATTGAATACAATCATCTGGTTCAGGGCTACAAAATAAGTATGCGTTATTTGCAATATTTTGATTGAAAACATTACATTGCATTGCGAATGCTTCAATTTGTGCCTTTTTTTCACTTTGGGATGATTATTGTGATTGCAGACGTTTAAATATATAATTTAAATCGGCATCAATATAAATTTTGTTTATTTTAGATGAAAAAAAAAAAAAACAATTCGCTCAAAATATTTTAATTTTGTATTTTTCTTTCGAAAGGAGAAGTCAGTGCAATTTTTGAAATAGTATGCTGTTAAAAGATAAATTTCTATGGAGAAATCACTCTAGCTATTAAAATAAATCATAAAAAGATTTCAGATTATAGACTGGTTGCCACCTGGAGGTCGGTATTCTTTGAACACAGCCGAAAACTGATATTTTCTGCAAAAATGCTGTGAACTATAGCAATTTAACTTTTTAACAAAGTTTTGCTTTGATCAATTTTTAAATTCGTTGTCACTATAATTTTGAGCTTGTCACTCTTAAAGATAAATCTTACTATGTTCTCGATTATTTTTTTCTTCCCTTAATTCCTAAACAGAATTTATAAGTCTCCTTTTTCCTGGTCGTACTCCATTAAAAAATTGTTCTCATTCTTTTTTTATTATGATTCCCTTAATTTGTCGGAAGAGCTGTCGTATTGCCAGTTATTCAAAACAAATGCGTAGAAAATTTAAAAGTGCTAAATCCAAGCAATTTTGCGTCGATCTTAGTCTTTTGTAAGATTTTTGAACATAAATTTATATTCAATATACATTTACAAATTTGCTTTCTCTCGAATTGAATAAAAGTAATTATAAAAACAATGCCAGTTTATGACACGCTGTTTTTTTAAGAGTTAAGTCATATTTTAAATATTTCAATATAGTTTTGAATGCTGTTTTTAAAAATATATTAAATATATAAAAACATATACATAAGCGAGCTTAAAAATAAGAATATTTCAAGTACCTTTGTTGGATATTTACTTCATTTACAGATATTTATATCATAACTTAAAAACATTTAAATTTATTTACATGTTATTTTATCAAATACAAATTACGCCGTTCATTTTTTCATTGATAAATTGCTAAAAATTCTGAATTGAAATTGTTATTTATACATATTTTTCTGAAACTTTCTTTTTCTTAATGCGTTGAATTGACTTTTCACAAGATTTCGATAAACAGTGAATTCATTTCGTTATAAAGGATTTCAGACGTAGATAGATTTTTAATCGAACAGCTGTATTTACAATGTTTTGCTATCAGTTAGGTGTCGAAATAATATAAATTTAATGGAGAAACATATTAAATTATATTTTTAGAAAACATGTACATTAACAAGTTTATAAATAAGAACATATGAAGGACTTTTTGTCAGATATTTACTTAATTTATTGATATTTACTGCATCACATAAAAATACGCTCAAATTGATAAATTCTTTCTTTTAGTCATGTACTTTTCTAAAAAATTCTAAATTACGTACTCATTATTAAATTTAAAATTTTATCATCAAATAACAATGAGAAATAAACTAAGTATAAAAAAATGTACTAATTTTAATATAATACATTGTTGGAAATGTCTCAGATAAATATTACAACATTTAATATCTATTTTACCGTATTCAATCAAAACAGTTGAATAATTATAAAAAGAGGATGTTATTCAAATTATTTTCTGTGAGAAAATTCGTCTGACGGATTTTACTTAATATATCGTTAAACAAACAGAATTTTGTCCGCGCCAACTAAGCCAGCAGCCAATGAAAATCGAGCACACGTTCTTTGAAAACTAGAAGTTGAAGCATGTAATAGGAACTATGAATTCATATTTTTATGTTCCCTAATCGCATTCTTAACATTACAGTTTATACCTAATAATCATATAGTTATAAGTGTGCTGTGATCACAGTATGAAGCCACATAGCTCCTTGCAGCTGGGTGGGATAATCTGTCAATCTCATGACCGGCTGAGTTAACCATGGAATTAAATAGTACAAAAGCCACTGCTATACATTACATAATCTAGTACAACTAATCAATCCCTCAGTAAAAATACACCGAAGAACGAGGAAAGCTCACTTGGACCTCGTGGAAAAGGTGTTTCCAGAAGATGAGAGATTGGAAAGATTGAAAAATATGAATAGCTAGCAATGGAAAAATATGAGATAGCTGGATGAAACATAAATGAAGGGAATACAATGAAGTTATGTTAAGAAAATATTTAAATTAAAATTTCTAAATTATACAAATCTCAGTTTTCAGATTATTAGTATTGTTTCTGATATTAAACCCCCTAAAACCACCGTTTTATCAGAAGAGAAAAAAAAAATCGGTAAAATATATGTTTAGCTTAATTTATATGTGCGCATTTGTGTTTAAGCGACAATATATAGTAAATTCAAATCAACAAATTTAAATGTGCGCATATGTTTTTGTAGTATCGCTATACGGTTTACTCATTTTAAACTAGCCTGTAGAACCAAAATCAATTATTAGCCTTTTTGCCTTTAAAGTACTTTAAAATGCTTTCTAATTAATTAGAAATAAATATTTACAGCGGTTGACACATACACGTTTACAGTTGAATTTACAAATTATATACTGCATTCGTAAGCATTTTAGGTTGTTTAATTTTAAAAATAATGTTTGTTAATAATATTTTTATTGAATGCGACATTTAGTTTTCATTATAGAATTGATTCGTCACTTCTATATTTCAAATTTATGTTTCATAAAGATAAGGTGTAGGGCTTGTCGAAATGAATCTGCCGAGATAAAATCCTGTTAGATAAATTTCATTATTTAGTCGCGTCTACTGTTTTATACGGCCTTTGAAAATTGACTACAGACGATTTAATATGAGTTGACTATTACTGTTTATAATTAATTGTTTATTTCGGTGCAAGGCATTATTTTAACTAGGAAATCCCTTATGGGGGTGTTGAACTTAATGGATTAAAATAATAATTCATAAACCTTGCGCTGAGCTATGTTTTTTGCTAGGTCGCGCAATGAGACAGAAATTGCTTTTCTTTGTTACAGAAATAATAATAAAAT